AACGTAAAAGCAAGGAGCCCTATAGCCCGAATTCAGCCTGGGGCAGCAGACACCCACCCTGCCGCACAATTACCCAGCCTGTGCCATGATCCCAGGGCAGTTGGCTCTGCCTGGAGAACTGGGAGGTCGCGTCTTATGTACTGTGCCCCCAGTTCACAACATCTGCAAGCCATCACCATTAAAGCCTTTAGTGTTCCTCCAGCCATTCCACTTCAGGGTGACTGGGCAGCCTAAGCAAAAACAAAACCCAACAGTCTTTTTACCTCGTGGAAGACAGCACGCCAAAGAAAGCAGAGACATCTTCATAGAATCCCAGAACGGTTTGGGTTGGAAGGGACCTTAAAGACCACCCAGTCCCCCCCCCTGCCACGGGCAGGGACACCTTCCCCTAGACCAGGTTGCTCCGAGCTTCATCCAGCCTGGCCTTGAACACTTCCAGGGATGGGGCATCCACAGCTTCTCTGGGCAACCTGTCCCAGTGCATCCCCACCCTCTGCGGGAAGAATTTCTCCCTTATATCCAATCTAAATCTATATGCTTGCAGTTTAAACCCATCACCTCTGTCCCATCACTACAGACCCTTTTAAAAAGATCCCCTCCATCTTTCTTGTGGCTCTAAGGTCTCCCTGGAGCCTTCCCTTCTCCAGGCTGAACATCCCCAACTCTCCCAGCCTGTCCCCATAGCAGAAGTGCTGTGCCTATATCCCCCAGCTCAGCACTAGCTTACTTGCACTGGGGCTGGTCTGTATTCCAGTTCTTCTGTGCCATGGCTTGCTCCTTCCCACTCTGAACCCCAGGGAACCCCCCCAGGTGACCAGAGTTGCCCTCTGCAGCTTTTGGAAGACTGAGCCTGGATGTAATACCACCTCCTCTAGCCCTGCAAACACGGGGCTTGTACAGCAAAGCACCCCTCACCAGATATCAATATGGGTGAGGATGGGGGGATCACAAAGCAGACCTAGGGAAAAAAAAAAAAAAAAAAAAAAACCTACAGTCCCATTCCTGGTAAGACAGGAAGAAAATGCAAGGAACCCAACACATACTGATGAAGTCATTATCTACACTCTGGGACTAGAAATACAAATTAAAGTCTCAAGTCTTTTATGACTAAACCAACATTTTGAAGTTCTGGAGTCTAAACTGAGAAGCACCATAACTGATGAAATGCACTGTACAAACTAAAGGACATAAACCCTATCACCTCCACCACC